GGGCTGGATTCGAACCCGCCACCTTAGGTGTATGTGGCTGGTGCCTTAGCCACTTGAGCCACAGGCACGGAGCCTATTTTTTTTTTTTATTAAATCATAGCTGTGTACATTAATGTAGTCATAGGGTACAGTGTGCTGTTTTTATATACAATTTGAATTATTTTCATCAAACTGGTTAACATAGCCTTCATGTAGTTTTCTTAGGTATTGCGTTAAGACATTTATATTCTACACCTAGTAAATTTCACATGTACCCTTGTCAGATGCACCATAGGTGTGGTCCCACCAATCACCCTCCCTCCACCCAACCTCCCCTCCCCTCCCCTCCCTCTCCCCTCTCCCCATATTCTTGGGCTACAATTGGGTTATAGCTTTCCTATGAAAGCTATAAATTAGTTTCATAGTAGGGCTGAGTACATTGTAAACTTTCTCTTCCATTCTTGAGATACTTTGCTAAGAAGAATATTTTCCAGCTCCATTCATGTAAACACGAAGGATTTGTCACCCCAGTAGAGTGCTGTAGTGTCACAGCTCACAGCAACCTCAGACTCTTGGGCTTAAGCGATTTCCTTGCCTCAGCCTCCCTAGTAGCTGGGACTACAGGCCCCCGCCTTGATGCCCGGCTATTTTTAGAGGGGGGGGGTCTCGCTCTGGCTCAGGCTGGTCTCGAACCTGTGAGCTCAGGCAATCCATTAACCTCAGCCTCCCAGAGTGCTGGGATTACAGGCATGAGCCACTGCGCTCAGCCCCACTTTATTATTGAAACCCCAGAAACTGCGGCGCTCCTGGCCCCGCCCCCAGAGCCTCCCCGCCCCCAGCCCCGCCTCACCCTGGACTCCGCCCTTCCCCAGGCCCGCCCCTCATACCCGGATGTGCGTCATTTTTCTGCGCTGCCGGCTGACGTGTGGTTGTGAGCGCTGTCGGGGCTGCTTCTGCCCGAGGCCCGAAGCCAAAATGCTGTTCGGTGCCTGGCAGTGAGCGATGGGCAGGCTGCTGTCTCTGGCCCACAGAGTCGCCTTGACCGCTGTGCGCTGCAGCCAAGGCTGTTGTAGGCTCGGGATGTTCTATGCTGTGAGGAGGGGCCGCAAGACCGGGGTCTTTCTGACCTGGTGAGTGGGCCCCCTCCCCGAGGCTGCTCCCTGCCGGCTCTCGGTGACTGTCCCCGGGAGCCTGGCTGTCGCAGCTAGTGTCGTTCCTGGAGTCTGGATGAGTCTGGTGGCCTCCCTGCTCACCGGGCGTCGTTCCGGACGCTCGCGGCCGGTAGGAGCCTCTCGGCTGAAGTTTTGTTCGGAACTCCAGAAACGCCACATAAAGCTTGAGGGTGGCCAGGAGCCTGAATTAATCCTTCGTTATTGTTGAAATTAGAAAATCCCCCCAAAGTAGCTCGTAATCAGTACCAGCCAAGCACCACCTGGTTTTCCGTACCAGTTAAATTTTAGTTGGAAGTCAATAACTCATCTAATCCTCCCTGTTTTTGAAAGAAATTCTGACAAACTAATGTTGGAATTGGATCGCTATGGGAATCCTTGAAAGAGAGCGGGATTGTTCTCATTATCAGGTGTAGTTCCTGTGGTTAGGAAGCTCACAGGGCCGGCGAATGACAGAGACAGGACTTGAGTCCAGGTTTTCTGACTCTAAGACCAGAACTCTTCTCATTGTGTGATAATCAAGGTTTATTATATTTCCCTGTGCATGGTAGCGTTAGTATTGAGAAAGAAGCATGTCAGAAGTTGAACTGTTTGCTGTATCAAAATGACTAATAGCATTTCTTTTACGAAGACTCCAGAATTTTAGGATGATTAGAGTTTGAGGAAGCCTCATGGTGCTGGTGTACTGTCCGGCTGGCATACAGTAGAACACGGGGGTTAGATAAAACTAAGAACTGGAAGATCTGACCCTTTTCCTCCAAGGAACTGGCAGTTCTTTCACACTATAGTCCCTCCTTTGTATCCACAGTTCATATCCTCTTATTCAGCCAACCATGGATCCGAAATATCTGGAGGAAAAAGACAATTAAAAAATGACTATTGAGTCCAGGAGTTCAAGGTTGCAGTAACCTATGAAAATTACATTTCATTCTAGCTTGGGTAAAAGAGTGAGACCTTGTCTCAGGGAAAAATAAAAATACAACAATTTAAACATAAAAAGGCAATACAGGAGGCTGGATGTGGTGGCTTACACCTATAATCCTAGTGCTTTTGGGGGGGCGGGTGCGATGTGGAAAGATTGCTTGAGGCCAGGAACTTGAGAGGCTGAGGCTGAAGGATTGTTTGAGCCCAGGAGTTTGAGGTTGCAGTGAACTATGACACCATTACACTCTAGATCAGTGACAGAATGAGACCCTATCTCAAAAAAAAGACAATTCAGTATAACTACTTACATAGCATTTACATAGTATAAGGTATTATAGGTCATCTAGAGATGAAGTATGGTGGAAGATGTGTAGTTTATATACAAATAGATGATTTTATATAAGGGACTTGATTCATTGGGGGTGGGGGTAGGGGATCCTGGAACCAACCCCCTTCAGTTACTAAGGGACAATTGTATTTCCAATTTAAGAAAAGAATCTTAGTTAATTACAAAGGGAATAAGTTAAAGGGAGTTTTAACATTGCATATCTTTTCCAGGAATGAGTGCAGAGCACAGGTGGACCGGTTTCCTGCTGCCAGATTTAAGAAGTTTGCTACAGAAGATGAGGCCTGGGCCTTTGTCAGGAACTCTGCAAGCCCAGATGGCTCAGAAGGTAGTCACCTCTCGTGTCAACCTATTCAAAGCTGTTCAAATCCCAGATGTCATTTGGTCTATAACCCGCATACACATAAAGAAGGTACTCTGACTGTTTTAATTTTACAAATCAGAAACAGGCTGGAAGCAGTTAAAAATACCGTTTTGTGTCGATGGATGTACTATATATTAGAGACAAGCAGGCTCTGTTCCATGTCAGCTCCTCGCTGTGCCATAATTTCTTGTTTTTTAATTTTTAAAATTTTTTAAAAATTTCCTATCTTTTAAAAAATTCTTGCACTGTTAATGGATTGAACAGGCTATGGTTTTTAAAGGGATGAATTGTTCCTTTCATGGTACACACCTTTGTCCTGTTTCCTTTTCCTTTTGGACAGAGTCATACAATCTGGACTTCTTCCAGCTGCATGTGTTATAGGAAGTATGGTTATCTGAAGTATAAGGCCTAATATAAGGGACATCAGATATGCAGGACTCAGACAAGCAAGGTGACTCTGCCTTAGAGCACAGGATATTAAGAATGTCTCTGAACTCTGACTTTAGTGATATGGTAGCCAAATAAAAATAAATGTATCTGAACCTGCCTTGAGGAAGTGATTTTTCATTAACTTTACTTACACATTTTTTTACTGCAGGGGACTAAGACCAAGCAGAGCACAGTTTTGATCAGTTTCTCTTGCACAGTCTGGAGCCCATGAAGGTACTTGCATATCAACTGCTCCTCAGGGATGTCAGAACAATCCTAAACAAAGTGCAGTTCAGAGAGAGACAGGTCATGCTCTAAACCAGGCATCCTCAAACTATAGCCCACGGACCACATGCAGCCCGCCTAGGACATTTATCCATCCCGCCGGGTGTTTTTGCTGCCACTGCCTGTCCTGCTTAGCAGCCAACTTGTCCCGGGCCCATGGTCCGGCCCTCCAACGGTCTGAGGGACAGTGAACTGTCCCCCTGTTTAAAAAGTTTGAGGACCCCTGCAGGCTAGTCCAGAGGAAGGGAGATCCTCATTCAGCATGTCTGCGTCACCTGTCACCTGTCTCTCCCCAATGCCTGGTTTTGTTTTTTGCCCTGGGTAGAGTACTGTGGCATCATAGCTCACAGCAATCTCCAACTCCTGGGCTTAAGCAATTCTCTTACCTCAGCCTCTCAAGTAGCTGGGACTACAGGCACCCGCCACAACACCCAGCTATAGTTTGGTTGTAGTTGTCATTGTTGTTTGGTGGGCCCGGGCTGGATTTGAACTTGCTAGCTCTGGTGTATGTGGCTGGTGCCGAGCCTCCCCAGTGCCTTTTAAAGGGGCTTCTGCTGGAATGGTTATGTTTTTTGCCTAGAGGGAGAAAGTCAGTTCTGGATAGAAAGCAAGTTTAAAAGTATGTCTCTTGCCTTGGTTTGGGTTCTTAATATTTCTTTTTCAGATTTTTTTTTTGTTTTTAACCAGTTAGTAATTTTATTTATAATCTCAATTCTTTCAGTACCTCCCAAAGTGTTGGGATTATAAGCATGAGCCTCTGTGCCCAGCCAGATTTCTTCATTCTTAAGCATTTCATGTTATGTTCCTTGTTTCTGGCTCACGAGTCAGCTCTGTCTTTCAGGGCTGGAGAACAAACATGTGCAAGAATCACAGATGAAAACCAGCAAGCGACCCCGTGAGCCCCTGGATAGAGATGAAGGGGACAGTGCAGAGCCGTGTGCAAAGCACCTGAGACAGGACGCAGAGGCGGCGGCTCCTTCAGTCGGCAAAGACGCATTTTCTTACATGGGTATGTTTTCCTTGGATTTTTTTATTTTTAATATAACAGTCATGAAAATATATATGTAAAAAATAACTTTTCCCACTTTATTAATGGGGAAATTTGAGCTGTTATTTAACATTCTCATTTTTACCTATAAAGGTTATTTAGAAATGGCTATAGTCACTATTTTATAATTGATCTAGTAGTGTAGAATTAAGCTTTGGATGTCTTTGGGAAACCTTATATAGACTACCAATGGAAAACATTGTATTATTTTGAAAGATGGACAGATATTCCCTATGTATAAAGTACTTACATCACAAAGGTAAAGAAAATGCAAAGAATTTAGGTTCCTTTTTACGAAAGGCCCTAGACAAAGCTGCTTGTTTTAATCAGCACTAGCATTTTAACCATTTATATTTAATCTTTCAAAATATAAGAGCTCATACCTTATTCTGAGAAGCAGAATACTAATGAACTTTTCCTCTACTTTTAACTCCAGGAATCAGTTGTATATATTTAGTGAGTTAGGGAATGTAAGTCTCCTTTTTGTCTTTTATACATATGAGCAGAAAATAAAAATAGTGTTTTCATGTAAATCAGTATCTTTTTAGGTTCTAATTTTATTCAAGGGAAGCCAGTAGAAAATGTCTTATCAAGTTGTATTTTAGATCAGTAGGTGCTTGCAGTTGAGACAGAATTCAGTAGCTGGCAAGGCAGATGGCACTTGTACTGATAGAAGTCAGGTTGCAGCGGGACCAGGGAGGCTGACAGTGTTCCTCATGAAGCACGTAAGGCACGGGCAGTGAAGCAGACCAGGGAGGCTTGCCTGACACCTACGCCCCTGCAAGCCCCCAGCCTGCTCCTGTGAGGACATGTCCCTGTCCTTTCCTGGAGGCTCGTGTCCCCTTGGCCTCTGCTGGGTTCAGTCTGTAGTCCTTGGGGCAAACGCCTTCTGTGCTGGCTGCCTCTGTGTGCTCCCATGCCCTGCTGTTTGGCACTCTGCACCCTCACTTCTGCTCCCAACGTGCTGCTCACAGTGTTTGCTGGTCACCAGTGACTGAGAGGGGCCCCTCAGTCCTTTTCCACCTTGTGCTTTGCTGCCTTGGTGTGTCATTCACACTCTCTGTGTGGAGGGAACGAAGCTAAGGTGGGGCTACACTTGACTCGTGGCAGATATGCCAGGGAAGAGGTGAGAGCAACCTTGTTCAGAGAACTGAACCTCCTGGCAGTCTGGGCCACCATCATACTGAGGTGCCGCTTGTCTCTGGGTGGGCAGCTTTCCTGAGAGTGAAGGTGACCCTGCATAGAAAGGACAGGGACATTGTCCTTTGACACCTCAGTGTGGGTTGTAGCAGCAGTTTTCACGGTAGTGAGTTCTAGTTTACAAAGTGTCATCCTTCGTCCTGAACATGCCTGGCCTGTGGGACCCTATAAGTGATTCCAGGCAAACATGTCCAGTGCCCCATGTAAGGGACTGATCCTGTTTTCCTAGACAGGAAACGTCCACGGCGTTGTAAAATGCCTTTTGCATTTAAAATGCTAACTCTACCCTAGTGAAACTTTGAGGTGAATTTTAGTAATATCAGCCCAGCAGCACTTACTGTTTTCCTCCCACAGGAGACTCTGTTGTCGTGTACACTGACGGCTGCTGCTCCAGTAACGGGCGGAGGAGGGCACGAGCTGGCATCGGCGTCTACTGGGGCCCGGGCCATCCTTTGTAAGTAAGCAGAGGAAGCTGGGTTGTTAGGCTTCCCATTTTACTTAGTCACTCTGTGGAACTTGTGGCAAGGTGGGTGGGATCTGCTTCCTGGGTGACTATTTGGAGAACCTGCCAAATCAAAAGCTTTGACAGGAGATAGCAGAACTGAGCTTTGATTCATGTGGATACTGAACAGTGCTGTCCTTCAGAACATCCGGCACCTTGGCATTGCCTTCCCAACCCCGAGTCTGGACCGTCCGCCTCACTGCTGAGCTTTTACACCACAGTGACCTCACTACCTCTTAACTGCAGAGTCCCCTGGCTGGGACTCCCCTGCTGGGAGGTGGTCTTGGCGGGGACGCCCCTGGGCAGGTCTGAGACTGGGAAATCATCACATCACTAGGTCCTCTTGGAGGTGGTTCCTTCTTTTTGAAAAGGCACAAAGTCAAGGTGATGTGAAATGCGATCATTCAAACACACCCTGCCCTTGGTGTGAATGACCCCACGTAGCTGCTGGCCCTACTGGTTCTGTGCCCGCTCACCTGTCCCCACAGCACTGTTAGGCTGACAGATGCTGACTGCAATAATTCCACTTTGCCTTTCCATTGAGCTTACAGTTTACAAAGTTTTTCACTTTCTTTCACTGTATCTTCTCACTTTAGCTTTTGGAGCCCTGGAAGAGGAACCAAGCCTGTGTAGCCCTGAGTGTCCCTGGGTTTTGTGCCTTTCAGGTCCAGTGCTCCTTCCGAGACACATGCCATGGTGTCTGTCAGTCTGACATTGCTGTTGTTGGTGTGATTCTGTCTTTCATTGACCACACATTGTATTCTCATCACACAGGGCCGGGAGAGGCAGGAGGTGTGTACTAGTGTGTACACTCCATGCGGCTTCTCGTCTCTCATGCAGCATTGGGATGCAGGTTCTGTCTTTTAAGTTCAGGACCTGGATCAGAGACAGAGGAGGTGGCCTGCAGCGGCTGCTGGGAGAAAGGCAGGAAATAGGCTTCACATTTAGGGCTCCCTGTGGGTACCTGAGGGACTTCCGTGAGATCATGGGTGGGGGCCTGACAGCCGCAGCTCAGAGTGAAGGTGGTGGCACAGGCTTGAGGCTGGGGCTCAGGATTTGAAAGGGCAACCACATCTTCAGAGAGGGGAGCTGAGAAGACCTGTCCTTTTATCTGTATCCCAGAATCCTGTGTAGGCCCTTTCAGCAAAGAGAGGGCTGAGGCTTCTCCTTGGTCTCTGCTTGGCCTCACGAGCATTCCAGTAGGAACCCTGCAGACTTGTCTGGAGACATTGGTACCAGTTTTTTTGGACATCCTTCTTCTTGAGACACTGGGCAGATGTGTTAGACTATTCATGCTTCTTCCTCAACTCTTCTAATTCAAGAAATCCATGTTCTTTTAGGAAGTTCAGGGTCTTCCAGTTGCTCTAAGATTTTCTGGGTCTTCCGGTTACTCCAAGATTTTTTTTTCTTTTGTTTTCCCCCAGAGACAGGATCTCACTCTGTCACCCAGGCAGGAGTACATTGGCATCATCACAGCTCTCTGTAGCCTCCAACTCCTAGGCTCAAGCAATTCTCCTGCCTTAGCCTCCTGATTGTATGGGACTATAGGCATACACCACCATGCCTACCTAATTTAAAAAAAAAAAAGCTTTTTTAGAGATGGCCTCACTGTGTCTGCCAGCCTAGGCTCAGACTCCTGGCTTCGAGTTCATCTTCTAGCACTGGCCTCCCACATGTTGGGATTACAAGCACAAACTATCATGCCTGACTCTTATTTTTGTTCTTTAGTAGAGATGGAGTCTTGCTCTCAGGCTGGTGAACTCCTGGACTCAAGTAATCCTCCTGCCTCAGCCTCCCACGTAGCTGAGACTGCTGGTGGGCAGGTTTGCATCAGCTTACTACCAGTGCCCATTAACCGGCCTGAGAGTTTTCTGGTTCTTTGGTTTCTTTTTACTTCATGAAGCTATCTAGTAATTTCAGTAAAGTCTCACTTTCTCCATTCTTATTCCTGAGTTTTCTCCTGTTATACTTCTCACAACCACTATCGGGCCAACCCAGGGTCTGCAGAAAACCAGCACCCAGTCTTCTCTGCTGGGATCCAGCAAGTTCAGAAGGTGCCTGAGTGTGGAAACATGTTTATTCCTCTTTGCTTCTGGCAAAATACACACTAGCTTGTTCTTACTTATTAAGAGGAATCACTTTGAGAATTAGGTTTATAATTTTTATTTTATTTTCTGTTCTTTTGAAACAGAAACGTAGGCATTAGACTTCCTGGGCGCCAGACAAACCAAAGAGCAGAGATTCACGTAAGTTATCAAAGATATTTATGTTTTGTCATTCTTTAGCATTGACTATGACCTTTTTTTTTTGAGGCAGAGTCTTACTTTGTCTCCCTTGGTACCACTGCATCTTTACTCACAGCCACCTCAAACTCTTGAACTCAAGGGAACCTCTTGCCTCAGTTTTTCAGAGACAGGGTCTCACTTTGGCTCAGGCTGGTCTCGGCCTCAGCCTCCCAGAGTGCTAGGATTCTACGTGTGAGCCACTGTGCCCAGCTGAACATATTTGTATATGAGATATTCTAAGTCTAGAAGAAACTTGTAGATAATAACAATTCTGAAATATAAGAAATTTTTAGAAAAATTGTAAAAACTTTCCTTCACTTCAAATAGGTATCTGCACAGGAGAACTATGTATGTAGTAGCGTTTCCTATAGTGACTAATCACAGTAGTGAACACCCATCATGTCAGAGCAGAACACTCCCTGTAGCTGACTGTCCCCTTGTTTTTCAAGGCAGCCTGCAAAGCTATTGAACAAGCAAAGGCTCAAAACATCAACAAGTTGGTTTTGTACACGGACAGTATGTTCACTATAAATGGTAAGCTTTTGCATTGCATTTCTTAATAACTGTTTCCAGTGGTTGTAACGGGAGATAGGTATTTCCTTCCCCAGTAGGAGGTAGGTATCAGAGGCGAGCCCAGCTGGTAATGGGGATAACATTCATTTGCTTGTGAGTTATAAAGAAACAGTGAGGATTCTGGAGTCTTGATTCTGCTGCTCCAGTATTTCCCCAGTGCTTTTTCCTTTGTTGGGTTCTGGAGATTCAGTCATGAGTGGGTGTGACTCTGCCCTCATGGTGTTTCTAGTCTAAGTGTGATGCCGGGTATGGAAGCACGTGGGAGGATAGTGACGATCCTGGGGACGGTTTCCTGGAGGAAGTGACATCTTAAGCTGAGAGCCGTATGTCAAGTACAAGTCAGGAAAGGGACAAGTCATTGGTGTTTCAGGCTGTGCCAAAGTACAAAGCAACTGAGGCCGACCGAGGAAGTGAAGAAGAGCCTGGGGTGGTGCCTTGGAGTACGGCGGGGGCAGTTATGAGGGGTCAGATGAGGGAGGTACAAAGGCTGGGACACTGCGGATGACTTGCCAGTGGTGTGCGTTCCTGCAGGTATAACCAACTGGGTACAAGGCTGGAAGAAGAACGGCTGGAGGACAAGCACAGGGAAGGAGGTGATCAACAAAGAGGACTTCATGGCGCTGGAGGAGCTCACCCAGGACATGGACATCCAGTGGGTGAGTGTCACTGCTGTTGGGACCCTGTAGTGCCAGTTCACTAGAGCTTAATCATTCACATAAGTGATTGGATTATATAATAGTTTCCATTATGGTATTACCATAACATATTAAAACATCCTTGATTCTTTGATCATTGCATGAATAACACTGTCTTGATGAGAGTGGTACTCATGAAGCACGTAAGGCATGGGCAGTGAAATTGGAAGGCTGCTGTGCACTCCTCACATTTGGTAGTGAGTCCCGGTGCTGGGCACAGGCGCACCTGTTACTAGTAAAGGGAACCTGTCAGTAGGCCTGTTAGTTTATTTGGAATGAACCATAATGTTAAATAAAACTGTCATGAATTTGTGGGATAAAGCCTTGGTGACATGACTTTTATTATTACAAAATGGAAGCTTTTTAAAATAATAAGGCATTTTCATTAAAAATATTTTTTCAATGGGTGGCACCTGTGGCTCAAAGCAGTAGGGCGCCGGCCTCATATGCCAGAGGTGGTGGGTTCAAACCCAGCCCCAGCCAAAAACTGCCAAAAAAAAAAAAAAATTTTTTTTCCAAGCAGTATAGAGCAAGATAAACAGCAACCATGCCCCAGTTCCACCTGGGTGCCTTCCCATGACCACTGATAACAGTTTGGTGACCTAATGTGTAAATTGGCTTCTGCAGTGAAAATCTGAACAATAGTTAAATAATAATCTTTCTAACAGCATTTGAAAGGAGTAAAGAGTGTGTGTGTGTCATACATACACATCCACCCCTCTATACACACGTGTTCTGCCTAGAAAGCTTGCAGGTCCCACTGTTAAGTGGGGAAAAAGCAGTGTGAACAGTAAAATCCAATTCATAGAAAAGCAGTGGAATTTCTGTAAATGCATCACTGCATCCGTGCACTGAGAATATATGTGGTACTGTTGAGAATCCTGCTGGGAAAGAGGAACTGCAGAGGTGAGCTCCAGTACTCAGTCTGCTCTGAATGGTTGAGGGTTTTTTGCCATGAGAATATAATATCGTAATGCTTGTGTAAAAATTAGTAAAAATGAAGGGGAAAATATTTATTTTAACAGATGCATATTCCTGGTCACTCGGGATTTACAGGCAATGAAGAAGCTGATAGATTAGCAAGAGAAGGAGCTAAGCAGTCTGCAGATTGAGCAAAGTGACTTAGTACCTGACGAGACTGAAGCCAGTGGCTGCTTCAATATTTTTACTTGCTGGTGTGGAAGAGAAGACTGCAGGCTGGACCATTACAGCAGGTCTGCAGAGCCGGCTGTCACACTGACTCGGGGTGGCAGGATGGCTTTCTGTGATAGGAAGTGGTCACATGTACGATAAATTAAACATCTTTGAGATTTGAGACCTGTGTGAATTCTCAGCACAACACTTAAATTTGCCTTGATATTGTTCTTGTTTTATTGCAGTCTGGCCCCAAATGCCACAGTTTTGATTTTGATGAGGAACCAATAAAACATTTTCATTAAAAGATGAAGACTGGGTATCTGGAAGTATTCTGAAAGCATTCATTTACCTTCCAATTTGCAAGATTGAGTGTCCTGTGCAGACAGGTCACTCTGGCTCTTAGGCCACTCTAAAGGGACAATTATGACTTTTAAAGACCAAGATATAATAAAACTTACCAAAAATTTCTTTGGAGGGGGACAGAATCTCATTATGTCGCTCTTGGTAGAGTGCTATGGCATCACAGCTCACAGCAACCTCAAACTCTTGGGCTTAGGCAATTCTCTCACCTCAGCCTCCCAAGTAGCGGGGACTACAGGCACCCACCACAATGCCCGGCTATTTTTTTGTTATTGTTATTGTTGTTGTTTAGCAAGCCCTGGCCAGGTTTGAATGCACTAGCCCCAGTGCATGTGACTGGCACCCTAACCACTGAGCTATGAGCGCTGAGCCTCTTTGGCTTTTTTTGTTAAAAATACTGTGCAAGTTTAAAAAAAAAAAGTTTGACAACATTTATTTAGTTTCAAACCTTTTTATCATAAAATTTAAATGTACAGAAATGACACATGGGCAGCACCTGTGGCTTAGTGAGTAGGGCACCGGCTGCACCAAACTGCCACAAAAAAAAATAGCCAGGCGTTGTGGTGGGAACCTGCAGTCCCAGCTACTCAGGAGGCTGAAGCAAGAGAATCACCTAAGCCCAGGAGTTGGAGGTTGCTGTGAGCTGTGATACCACAGCACTCTACCCAGGGTGATAAAGTGAGACTCTGTCTCAAAAAAAAAAAAAGAAAGAAAGAAAATGGCACATCCATATGAGTTCTTACTGAATTCTTATTGAATTCTTGTTATTTAAGGTGAGCGCACTTGTATCCAGCCACCCCCAGAGGAGCTGACTGTTGGCCAGATCCTGTGGGTGTCTCTCCAGGTGCCCTCCCCTCTGATGATACCCCAGTCCCCTCCAAAAGTAATTCTGACTTTTGGAGAAGTGACTTCCTTCCTACATATATACATAGTTTAAAATTGTTTGTTTTGGGCGGCGCCTGTGGCTCAGTGGGTTCGGCACTGGCCCCACATACTGAGGGTGTTGGGTTCAAACCCGAACCCAGCCAAACTGCAACAAAAAATAGCCGGGCGTTGTGGTAGGTGCCTGTAATCCCAGCTACTTGGGAGACTGAGGCAAGAGAATCGCCTAAGCTCAAGAACTGGAGGTTGCTGTGAGCTATGACGCCATGACACTCTACAAAGGGTGATAAAGTGAGACCTGTCTCTAAAAAAAAATTATAATAAAATAAAATTGTTTTATATTGAGGTAGTATATGCTTTGTATTGCGGTAGTATAATTTACCATTTTTAAGTGTACAGTTCAGTGATTTCCTTGCATTTCATGATGGCAGTTTAGTATTGTCTACTTTTGTACTTGATATTCCTTAAGTCTTTAAGTCCAAGTCCACAGCACACATGCACAAACCATGCACACAACACACATACATGCCCAGAACACACATGTGGCACACATACATGCACAGACCACGCCCACCGCATGCATACACACTTGCATACATATGCACATGCATGCAGCACGCATCTATACATAGACCATGCATGTAGCACACATACAGAAACCACATGCATGACATGCATACACACAAAGACTGTACACACATACACACATCAGCCATGCACACAGTCTTTGGTGACCACCTGCAGCATGGTATGTCAAAGTGCTCTCAGCCCATCTTGTGCATCTGCTGAGGCCTGTGTTAAAAGGAAAACTTAGACAAGTTAATTTTAACAAAGTTTAATTGAGCAATAAAAAGGTTCATAAACCAGGTGGCATTTAGGACCAAAGCTATGCAAAATGCTCCCCCGCAAAATGTGTGCAGGCTCTATGTACAGCCAGGGAAACAGACAAGACACGCAGAAATAGCCTGCCTGCCTGCCTGCCAGTATTTGCCTTATTTGGACATGTTGGGTTGGCTGGGATGCAGCTCCTTGTTACAAGAGAAGACTCAAGTTAGACTGCAGTCAGGTTGCAGCTCACTGTGCAGGGAGGCGGCTTTAGACCAAACTCAGCTTAACACCTGCAACTGCTGCCTCTCTGAGAGTCCCTGGTGGAAACGGCATTTCAAACCCACATTCTGGAGCACTCACTGCTACAGTGCTGGTTATTGTTTCCAGGCCTTTTCATTGGACAGAACTATAAAAAAATATAAATATGCACACACATTTAAAGGTAAAATATTTCCTGAGCTCATAATGATAGTCTCCAAACAAATCAGGTTTCTAGGGCTTTTATTTAACCTTTTCTAATACATGTTTGTGTCTCTTTCTACACTAAGAATTCTGGTTCCTAAGACTTGGGATGATGGAATAGACTATCCCATAATCGGACTGGGCACAGTGCTCGTGCCTATAATTTAGCACTTTGGGAGGCCAATGTGGCAGCATCACTTGAGGTCAGGAGTTTGAGATCAGTCTGAGCAAGACCAATACACCCACACTTCCCTTACCCTACCTCCCCCTGCTGTCTCCAAAATATAGAAAAAAAAAATTAGCTGGGATGGTGGCACATTCCTATGGTCCCAGCTACTCAGGATGCTGAGACAAGAGGTTCACTTGAGCCTGGGAATTGGAGGTTGCTGTGAGCTAGGCTGACTTGACACCATGGCACTCTAACCTGGGTGATGGAGGGCAACTCTGTTTCAAAAAAAAAAAAAAAGGAAAAAAGAAATATCCAATCATTCACTTGTTTTATTGTACTTTAACATATATTGAAATAATACTAACACTGTACCATTAGTTGTGATAATGAAAACAACTGTGTCTGTGTTGCCAGACACCACATAATAAAGTGGCTCCTGTCCCTCCGGGTAGTCTCATTTCCACGTATTAAATGCTCGCAACCAGTCTTTAGGTCAGTGTTGTCTTGGGAACAATATTCTCTAAGTTCCTGTATGCTAAATTCAGTTTTGCTGGATATGAAATTCTTGGCTAGGATTTCTTTGAATGTCTTGTTTTATTCTATTTCTTTCACCATAATGTGATGAATGAAAGGCCTAAAAAAATCTTATCTTCTCCCCCTTTTAAGTCATATGCTCTTTTTGCTTATATGCCCAAAGGCCTGTTGCCTTTTGCTCTCGAGTCAGTAATTTCATTGTAATGCATCCTGGGTTGGTTGTCCTGGGCAGCATTTGCAGGGATATAGTATATGCTTTTTCCATGCGTATTCAAGTCTGTTATTTTGAGAAGATGTACTTGCAGTGCAGTTTAGCTTTCTATTTTTCTTTGATTTTCTTCTTTGGAGACCCCTGTTATCTGTGTGTTAAAATCTAATTTGTTTCCAATATTATTAGCTACTTTCTCTTTTATCTCTTTGTTCATTTATTTGACTTTTAGAAGTTGTTATTATACCACCTTGCTTTTTAAAACAGCTTTATTGAGGTGTAATTGACCAATAAAAGTATCATTTAAAATGTATTTAAATAGTTGTTTAAATACTGCTGAAGTATTGTTGGGGTAAGTGAACTACGCATATGCCCGTGAAGCTGTCACCCCAAAAGCATTCTCACCGCCCCCATCCCCAGACAGCCACTGGCTTGCTTTCTCTCACGAATGGTCCTGCTGGGGAGGTGGTGCTTCTTTTTCTCAGAGTAATTGTCCTGGCCCACCCTGTCCTATCAGCGGTCTGTGTTTTTATTGTGTCTTGTACCCCAGGGCTTTGTTCATCCACCTGTTTGTTTTGTTTTCTTTTTAATGTCCTTGCTTGCAGATGTGGTCCACTTGTTGACCAGTATTAGGCTTGTTTCCAATTTCTGACTAAATAAAAATAAAGCCAGTGAAGCCTTTGTGAATGCCGATGTCCTGGTCTTGTGCTGTTATTTCTCCACGTAGATGTCCAGGCATGGAAGGAGGGCAAGTGTGTGTTTAACTTCCTAAGAAATTACCAGACTTTTCAGATACCAGCTTTTGCCACTTCACATTCTCACCAGCAAGGCAGGAGAGTTCCACTTTAAGCTCAGGATTCAGGCTGTGATTTTTTTTTCTCTTACTAGAAAAATGCCAGTAGTTATTTTGAATCAGAACAGTACTTGGTGGTGGCTTCCTTCTGTATGGCAGTCCTAATTAGTTGACTGATCTTTTCAGTTACTTAGACAAACTTTCAGAAAACTAGGAGGCAAAAATCAGATAAATTAGTATTTTTCAATAAGTTCTAATTTTCCATTTTCAGAGATGTAAAGAAACCAGTAGAGGCCGGGCATGGCTCATGCCAGTAATCCTGGCACTCTGGGAGGCCGAGGCAGGAGGATCACTTGAGCTCAGGAGTTTGAGACCAGCCTGAGCAAAGCAAGACCCTGTCTCTACTAAAATTAGACAAATCAGCCTGGCATCCCAGTGAGCACCCATAATCCCAACCACTCGGGTGGCCGACGCAGGAGGGTCACTTGAAGCCAGGAGTTTGAGGTTGCTGTGAACTGTGATGCCAGGGCCCTGTACCTGGGGCAACAGAGTGTCTCAGACTGTCGGGGGAAAGAAGGAAGGAAGGAAGCAGGGAGGGAACCAGTAGGGAGGGGCTGCCCTGGTTTCTGGGTTCTCTGCTGGTGACATTCCTTTTTATGATTGTTTGATTTGGATATCTGAGCAGCACAAGATCCCCCTGTCCTGCGAAAGTGCTTTGTGGTCAGCATCCATCTATCTG